CCATTCAAAAACATCTAAAAATCTGTCAAATTTATTATATTACAGGATATTATCGCGTCAATTATGATGTAACAAATTGGCAAAGAATTGTAGAATACCTAAATACAAAAAATATACGAAAATACATGTTCTCAATCGCGCTCAACTCATCGATGATATGTTTTATTTTTGTGCGAACCACAAATGTATGCTTCTCTAAGAAGTGCACTAAAATACATAAAAATTCTGCTACTTTGTTTTTGAGACTCTTGAGCTACCTCTCGCAAGAAACAAATCTTGTAGCATGGTATCCTATGTTCAAAGCTTTTGAATACTTGTCGCATGCTTTTCCATTTCCAGAAATGGCAAATGTTAAGGTAGATAGTTTTAGACTCTTTCCATCAACATTTTTATTAAATTATTCCATATGAAACTTTGATGTTTTATATATGATTATCAGGTGACATGCACATGATACACATTTCATTTACATTAGAGATACATTATCAATTTTAACAAAGCTGACTTTATAAAACCTATGCCTAAACAAATATGTAATATTTTTACATTATTTTTAGGAAAAAATAGGGAAAACGTTAAATAGTGTTATTGAAATGATAGGATACGATGATCCTATTCAGGAAGATCTTTCTAACAATTCTTTTTAAATTCTAATATAATTTTAAGACACGAAATTCTAAGATGGGCATGTGTTCTCAATGTCATCACATGTCAAGCAGAGGCCATGAAAAAATTGCTATTACAAGTTCTTAATATGAAATTTGCAAATCAGTCTTGGTCTGATTTGTCTTGGTAAATTTTTTAAATCAAAATATTTTCAAAATAATATTTTTCTTTTATCCCGTGCAAAATATGATAAATTATTTAACAGGCACGCTAATACAAACTAAATCTTACTAACATATATATCACATTTGCTTCATAAAATAGGTCTGTACCAAGATTAAAAGAATGGACAATTTGTAATGCCATAACGATAGCAGAAAATAATACGTGGTCTCTGATACTGAATACGTGGCAACACATATCTGACAATAAACTATTAGAATTTTTGGCTTGCACGAAAAATTCTACTATCACCAAGCAATATTTAGATATGCTAACGTCAGAAACATATTTTACAGCCAAGGACCGCATTCATAGTTTTTACTTTATTGTTGCAAAACGTGTAAATGATTATGAAATATTGGACTATATAGAAAATAATTTTCAAAAAATAATACCCAAGTAATGATATTTTTCTTTTCAAATATGTACCATTTTACGGTATAAATTTTCGTTAATTATAAATTTGCTATTTTATTATTGTAGAGAAGTCGGTACTACTCGAGCATTAATTTTTATTATTAATCATCTATATAACTTAAATCAACTTTTCCAGGTAAGTTAATTGATTTTATAAACCATATTCACTAATTAATCTCGCAATAATAACCTTATTTAATTATTTATATATGTATTATTATATATGTCGCACAGTGTATCTTCACTTTATTAAACTTATAATTACAAATTATTTTCAACAAATTCTTATCTAATATTTGCAAAAAAACTAAATAATAATAAATGTAAAATTAATATGTTTTAGCTAACCGTCTTCGTAAAAAATAATTTACATCATCTAATTTCTCCTCCAGTTGTTTTTCATAAGATATATAAGCGCATACATCGTATAGATAAATTGAAAGACAAATTGAAGGTAGCCAATCTTATCAAATAATCGAACAATTAATAAAATAGGAGAATTGTAATGTATAAATTTGCAATAAATTCTATTGTATTTCTTTATATTATTACTCTTATATAAATATTTTTGTAATAAAATTTCCAGCTTATTATGTTAACACATTAAATCCGATATGAAATTAGTAATATAATCGATAATATAATCCGTCAAAATAATTGTCAAGATAGGATACATAGCAATTATATTGACAAATAAAAAGATTTTATACAATGTACTGTAAATCATGATAATTAAAAAAAAATGTGACGCCAAAAATGAATAAAATATATAAAACACAATTGTTTGGTAGTTTGTATTCTTGATCAGAAAAATCGTTTTAAATAGAAAAATACTACAAGCTTAATTAACTCCTATCATTATATTCCTATATGATTGTCTTTATTGACTAACTGAATATTTGTTATGTACGATTTTAGAAGTTGTTTATTTGATACATGTTTCTGACGATCGATCTGAAACGTTATCGTTAGTCTGTAGTGATACTTCAAAATGGTAAGATCATAAGATATATTTCTAAACCGGGCAGTTCATAAATACATTAATCTATAGTGAAACAAACGCATGTTACATTTTAACTAATTTATTTTCTTAAAACTATCGAACGGTTTATTCCTTCTCTTTTACATTTCGTAACAAAAAACTCTCTGCTTATCCTTTCTATTAAAATTTTCTAAAATCTTTCTATTTCACGATATAATTTTTATATTTTGCTGTATTTTATTTATATCCTTCAACAGAGAAACGTTTTCACAGATACTAAAAACGAAAATTGGAGCGGCATGTGTCAAAATGTTAATAAACGGTGGTCTAACGTTTATCTTCGCGGCACTTCTTTTTCCCGGTGAAATTTCGGGAAGGATGACCAAGGATGATGAAACTGATTACCGTTTACCAAATCACACAATACCATTGCACTATTCTATCCATTTGATGCCAACTATCAACAACATACAGCAAACTTTTTCATACACCGGTTCCTGCAGTATCACTCTATTCATTCTTTATTCAACGTGGAACATAACCTTTCATCTCAATAATATAATACAAATACAGACAGCAGAGATAGACAATTACTTCTTTGGATCTCATTTGCCGGTTTTTTCGTACGAAGCTGCAAAAAGCACAATAATTCTTTATTTCGTCCATAAAATATCACCTGGGATTTATGTTCTGACGATGAAATTTACTGGAATCGCGAATGATAACAATTATGTCTTCTTTAGAACGCGTTACAAAAACAGAAAAAATTTTACACAGTGAGTAAACATTAAAACACACATAATTATTATATAAATAACTTTTCATTATTTCTTAAAAATTATTTCCACTATTATCATCATGATCACAAGAAAGCTTTATAAAACATATAAAACTTACAAAAACTTAACTTATTTATAGTTTACCAACAGCATGCAAAAATTTATTTTATATCTAAATATAATTACACGTCCCTTTATTATAATTAAGTATACTGATATAGCAATTTAAAGATACCTGCTTTTTTTACTAAAAAAATTAACTTTAAATTTAGAAAACTTAAGCATATCATAAGTTAAATTAACTAGAAATTTTAAAATTAAAAAGTAATAAATGTTTTATAGTAAAAAGTAGTCATAATATAGTAATGTAAAATGTCAATCATTTCTCTTTTATTTTTTTTTTTTCAAATTTCTCACAAAAGTTTAATAAAGCATAAAATTAGTGTATTCTCCAACGCACAAAAAACTGACTGCTTTCATACAAAAATAGTTCATATACTCGTCACTTTAGATGTTTCAAAATATGTTAGGTTGATGACTCTGACAAATTTCCAAAGGATTGGGGCGCGACAAGTGTTCCCGTGCTGGGATGAACCAGCAATGAAAGCAACATTTAGAATTACTGTAACCTATAATCCTGAGTATACAAGTTGTTCAAATATGCCGATAAAATGGACAGTGAACGAAGACGATGACTGGGCGTGGAAGACAGACTACTTTCACACTACTTTACCAATATCCCCGTTTCGCATTGGAATATTATTCATCGAAAATGGTTTCAGGGACAATATCATCAACAATGTTACAATACATTATAGACGTAATAAAAAAATAATAGAAAAAGATCTAAAATTTACAAAAATGATTATTAAAAAAATCACAAGATACCTAAAATCGAAATGGAAGATCATAGAAATGATTCCGAAGATGGATCATGCAATAATTCCGGGTCTCATAGACAATGGCATACAAAATTGGGGACTCGTTTGTTACAAGTAATATATAATAATTTTCATTATATAAATCATTATGCAAAAATTATACTATATGCAACTACCTTCATTCCATTCGCTACGCGATTACTAGAGATAGTTGATATTTTGTCGTGATCTTTCGTGAAATAAATAAAATAACAAGATTCTTGAAAACAAAAGAATATAACCGCATTACTTATATAATAATTTTAGTGAAGCAGATGTTATCTACAATCATACATTAGACTCCGCTGGTCGCGACAGAGAGGTGGCATACTTAGCGGCACGACAAGTAGCAAGTCAGTGGTTTAGTAATCTGGTCAGCCCATCTTGGTGGGCCGACGAGTGGTTAAATGAAGGTTTAACTATGTTCCTTGGCATGGATGCTATCGATAAGGTTGTTTTCATACGCAATTAAGAAATAAAAGCATTAATATCATTTTTATAAACATTTTTTTTAGAACCAGAATAAACATGGACTTTTTACAATTATCATAAAATTTTAAGTATAAAAATAAAGAATCATAAAACGTTTAAATTTAAAGAATGCAGAAAACTTTTGCAAAAATTCGCCAAAACTTGATGTTTAGCTTTAAACAAATGCACATTACATTAAATAAAATATGTTACTATTTTTATTATAAATGATCGAAGAAAAGCTTTTTTCGCGAGTAGTACCATTTCATGTAAATAAAATGCAAATGTTTGTTAAATATTTATATAATTACACAAAAATTTTCATTTCTAGCTTTTTCCGGATTATCAAATAATGGATTTATTCATAGTCCAGAATCGTGACTTGCTCAATTTGGACTTACATATGAAGAAAAAGCCTTTTATGTCAAAAATCAATAGTCCCACTGATATTAATTCGCTTTCCCTTTTTCCCTATTATCTCAAAGGTAAGTATAACAATTTTTTGTTTTCTATAAATTTCAGAACATAATCAAACGTTATCGATAAATAAATTTATATAAAATCCTATTTAATAACTTTGCATTAAAAGAAAATAATTCAAGTAAGAAATTAACAATATTACGTGACCAGTTTTGTGTTTAAAAAATTTATGTAAACGGTGTATTAATAATATTACATGGCCAGTTTTGTGTTTAAGAATTTATATAAACGGTGTAATAAATATATCTTTAATCATACTTAAAATAAACCAAATAAATTTTAATAATATTATTAGTTGAACAAACTACTAACATTTGTTAACATTGTTAATATTTTGCTTATTAGCTGATGCATACTGTTTTCAGCATCTGCTTTTTTACGCACGTTGCAACATATAATTACCGAGCAGGTATTTCAAAACCGGTGTTCACAACTATTTCAACACACAGTAAGTAGTAACTGTAGCATCATTATTAAAAGCTTCAGAATTAAATGTGGTAAATATAAAAGTTAATTATTAATAATAACCAATAACTTTCTCCGTAAAAGATATAATATATATTATATCTGTTATATATGTTATATAAATTAAGTAATAGTGCTTTATGTATTTCTCGATGCAATTCATTCTACCGTATTTACTATCAATAATATTGAATTTTACAAATTTAGTAAGTTTAGCTCGGCGACTTCTGACGATTTCTGGAATGCTATGCAAACCGCCTTGAAGAAAACACATCATGCACACAAATTCAATTTTAGAGAAAACTTACTTAAATGTATGTGGCACTACACTTGTATTACGGTGGAGGTGAACCGGGATTATGATACTGGAAGTACAGCCGTATCAATTAAATATGACATATTAAACTGCGATTTTCACATCGATATAGAAAACATTAGGATACCTGTGACTTACACGACTCAAAATAATATCAATTTTAACATAACTTCGTCCACGAACATCATGTGGGTGAACAAGTACGAAAAAGAGTACCAATCATCTTTGCCTTTAACCTTTCATTCGAATGATACGGATGGTTGGTTAATACTCAATTTGCAACAAATCGGTATGTTATTAATAAATTTATAATATTTTTGTCTTTACTC